GCAAATTCAATAGGGACCTCGCACGGTCGTGCTCGGGCCCTAAATATAATCTTAGCAAATTCAATAGGGACCTCACACGGTCGTGCTCGGCCCTAATAATCTGAGCAAATTCAATAGGGACCTCGCACGGTCGTGCTCGGGCCCTAATAATCTGAGCAAATTCAATAGGGACCTTGCACGGTCGTGCTCGGGCCTAATATATATTATATTATATATAATATCTTAGCAAATTCAATAGGGACCTCGCACGGTCGTGCTCGGGCCCTAAAAAATATCTCTTAGCAAATTCAATAGGGACCTCACACGGTCGTGCTCGGGCCCTAAATATAATCTTAGCAAATTCAATAGGACCTCGCACGTCCTGCTCGGGCCCTATATAATCTTAGCAAATTCAATAGGGACCTCGCACGGTCCTGCGGGCCCTAATAATCTTGCAAATTCATAGGGACCTCGCACGGTCCTGCTCGGCCCTAAATATATAATCTTAGCAAATTCAATAGGGACCTGCACGGTCGTGCTCGGGCCCTAAAAATATAATCTTAGCAAATTCAATAGGACCTCGCACGGTCGTGCTCGGGCCCTAATAATCTTAGCAAATTCAATAGGGACCTCGCACGGTCCTGCTCGGGCCCTAAATATATATAATCTTAGCAAATTCAATAGGGACCTTGCACGGTCGTGCTCCTCCTCCTGTTGACTTTAGGCTATGGGTTCTTGAGGCTTTTTGTGCGTCTTGATACGATACATGTCCCAGAAAATTTCGTACATGTAGGTTGACGTGAACGAGGGGCTAATCTTTTCCAATTTTCTAGGTGGCGCTAGCGAGTCATTTTGCCACGCCCATGTGCGAAACTTGTAGAATACAAAATTTTCACCGGTTCTGACATGTTTGCAAATTTTGGTGAGTTTTCGAGTATGTTTAGGCCAGTCATTTGGGCCTACTTTGCAGAAAAAAATAAAAATAAAATAATAATTAATAATCCGAGCAAATTCAATAGGGACCTCGCACGGTCGTGCTCGGGCCCTAATAATAATCCGAGCAAATTCAATAGGGACCTCGCACGGTCGTGCTCGGGCCCTAAAATCCGAGCAAATTCAATAGGGACCCACACGGTCGTGCTCGGGCCCTAATACCGAGCAAATTCAATAGGGACCTCGCACGGTCGTGCTCGGGCCCTAAATATATAATCTTAGCAAATTCAATAGGGACCTCACACGGTCGTGCTCGGGCCCTAATAATCTGAGCAAATTCAATAGGGACCTCGCACGGTCGTGCTCGGGCCCTAATAATCGAGCAAATTCAATAGGGACCTTGCACGGTCGTGCTCGGGCCCTAATATATATATATATATATATATATATCTTAGCAAATTCAATAGGGACCTCGCACGGTCGTGCTCGGGCCCTAAAAATATAATCTTAGCAAATTCAATAGGGACCTCACACGGTCGTGCTGGGCCCTAAATATAATCTTAGCAAATTCATAGGGACCTCGCACGGTCCTGCTCGGGCCCTAAATATAATCTTAGCAAATTCAATAGGGACCTCGCGCACGGTCCTGCTCAGGCCCTAATAATCTTAGCAAATTCAATAGGGACCTCGCACGGTCCTGCTCGGGCCCTAAATATATATAATCTTAGCAAATTCAATAGGGACCTTGCACGGTCGTGCTCGGGCCCTAAAATATAATCTTAGCAAATTCAATAGGGACCTCGCACGGTCGTGCTCGGGCCCTAATAATAATCTTAGCAAATTCAATAGGGACCTCACACGGTCGTGCTCGGGCCCTAATATCTTAGCAAATTCAATAGGGACCCTGCACGGTCGTGCTTGGGCCCTAATGAAGAGGATTGGTCCGAGGACAGATCCTTGTGGAACTCCATGACTAACTTGGCATGCATGGAGGACTCATCGTTAACATGTACAAACTGAATCGATCTGATAAATAGGACTTAAACCAGCTTAGAGCGGTTCCTTTAATGCCAATGAAATGTTCCAGTCTGTAATGGAGACCAGGGGTTCCATTAACTGAAATAGTCAAGTAAGTATTAAGGTGGGGATTACTGATAAAGCAGGAGCCATACCATTGTTATTTGTTTGTTTATTTAATTTGTGAATCATTTGATAGCTGTCTTTGTGAGTGGTTCCACAGGGGGGGTCTGGCCATCCTGCCTGTGTGGAAAGAAACCTCAATCAGGGATAGTCAAGGTTCACAATATAGTATTGACTGCTCTTACTCTATTTCAGTTAGTTGTTAAATTAGTTTAAACAAGAAGACGAACAATGTAAGTACTCACCTCTTCCTGGTTGTCTCTTCAGCAGGGGGCGGAGGCAAAGGAGTTTGGGGGGGGGGGGGGGGGGGGGGCTGATTTATGTGATTATTTTGAGTATGCTTTATTGATTTACTGATAGAAATTTGTATTTATGTAATATTCATTCTTTGGGCTCTATTTTTCTGTGGTTTGGGTTTTTAGGTAAATTATTTATTATTCTAAATGATGGTGGTCCCACCTGAGTAGTTTTACTCACTTAATTACCTGCAGGAGGGAGTGTATAAAAGGCAGCAAGTTACTTCCAGTGCAAGTTGTTTTGTTGCTTGTTGGTGTCGGTGTCTCCTCTTGTTGGTATGGAAGACAATAAATGCCACGTTTGTGCTTGCATTTTACCTCTGTCTCTCTCTGAAAAATGTAAAGCCACGCCAGGCCATCGGACACAGTCTCTGCAATAGGATCTGATGGTCATTGGTATCAAATGCAGCACTAAGATCTAATAAAACCAGTACAGAGACAAGTCCTTTGTCTGATGCAATAAGGAGGTCGTTAGTAATTTTCACCAGTGCTGTCTCTGTGCTATGATGAGCTCTAAATCCTGACTGAAAATCCTCAAATAAACTATTGCTCTGTAGAAAGTCACACAGCTGTTTAGCAACTGCTTTCTCCAGAACCTTAGAGAGAAAGGGAAGGTTAGATATAGGTCTATAGTTGGCTAAAACATCCGGATCAAGTTTGGGCTTTTTCAGAAGAGGTTTAATTACAGCTACTTTAAAGTACTGTGGTACATAGCCTGTTGATAAAGAGAGATCGATTATATCTAGCATAGAAGTGCTGACTAAGGGTAAAACATCTTTAAGCAACCTAGTCGGGATGGGGCAGGTTGATGGTTTAGATGAAGAAATTATTGAAGTTAGTTGGTAAAGATTGAGGGAAGTAAAACAGTCTAAACATATATCTGGTTCTACAGCTGTTTCTAAGGTTCCTGAGTTTAGAGATAATTCGGTGCCAGTTGAGGGCAGGTCTTGGTGAATTTTGTCTCTAATAGCTAGAATTTTATCATTAAAGAAGCTCAAGAGGTCGTAACTACTGAGAGCT